GAGGTCTTTTCAAAAAGCGAGACAGAGTAAACTTTCTCATTCCAATCCATCTCACTATTCTCAAGTTTACATTTCACTGAAAGCAGCAGCAAATCAGCTGCGGCCAACAACCTTTTGAAGCGTACATTTCAAGGATAGGAATAAAAATATTCAGTTGTCTCAATTATTTATTCATGTCCCAGATCAAGAAAGAACATCAACAATATCGAATGCTAAAGTAATCGAAATTGCCTCAAAACACTACAACCATCACAATTACAGGTCTCAAATGCTGATGAGAGTGATCTGGATTCATCACCGTCAACACCTCGCAATGCGACTTCAGGCGAAGAGACCACGGCAGCCGGACCACCATCTTCATCGCCTCTTCTGCTACCGCATTATGCGAAGAAGAAAAGTGGAGGAAAACTTCACTTCGGTAAAAATTAAGCAATCGAATTGTCCCAACTAAACAAACAACCTCAGATGTCCTTTATTAATGTTTCTAGTCTCACAATCTGCACCTTTTTGTTATCAATGATACAATATATCACAGAATGAAAATTGAATCAATTTCTTCGTTGTTACTATTCCAAATCACGTTAATTCATCTCTCCAATGGATTCATTCATTTGAAAGTACATCCAATCAACAACCCCAACTTATTGCTAACAAATGAGTGTCGTTGATCTCTGAGTGATCATAAATAACACTTCGCATAAAACACACTTTTGCTAATGGATCCATTGATTCTGATGTACTAAACTTTTAAGCATTCAATTTACTGAAGTCAGTGCGTTCCGAAACTAACGATGACGAAGGTGGCTCCGATTCTGAGATAAACGAGGATAATCAAGTGAGCAGTCTGAATTGAGTGTTTCTGACTGATCTTCACATTAGAACCAAATGATTCACGTTATATTCATAAAACAAATGCCCTTTATTGCCTATGATGAGGGATACTTATCGCCGACTTGGCGATTTTTTCATTTATCGTATCATTGATCGAATTTTTTGATCTGGAAATTTTT